TGCTCTGGCCAGAAAGCTTAGTGTTGTCTTTGGGTCTCTCCAACTTTATATTCGTTAGCCACTTCTCAGGGTCTATATGTACATATATCAGCTTCTGACCACATCTCAACACCTCCGCTACTGCCACTCCCATTCACGTCACCATCTACTCCTACCTCAGTTATGGCAAGAGATTTTTTTGCTGACCTTTCTTTCTGTCCTTTCTCCCCTTCAACGTACTCTCAACCCAGTGGTGAGTATGATCCTATTAAAATGAAGCTCTCATCTCACTTTGTTCAATGTCCTTACCTCCAGGATCCTATAGGAGATGGCTTCTCATTCCTCGTCTGACTTCTCTTAATTGTCTTTCCCTTGTTTCCTGTGGCAGCAAACATGCTAAGTGTGCTCCCTCTGCCTATTCTGTGTTATCCTTACACATACCTCACTCCCACACCTATTTTAGAGTTTTATTTACCTGCCACCTTCTCAGTAAGGTCTGTCCTGACCATGTTACTTAAAATCTCAACCCCTTAACTTTTCTTACCTGTCTTTCCTTATTTTTTCTAACGTATTTATCACCTGCTAACACTATGTCTGTTTCTTATTCGTACTGTTTTCTCTTATCCCTCACATAAGATACACTTCCTGTATGCAGAGATTTTTGTCTGAGTGTTCTTTGCTTTATCTCTAGTACCTATAACAACACCTGGTCATAATACATACTTACTAAGTATTTGTTGAGTGAATGTACAAATGAATAAACAAGTGAACAGCCATTCCCAGCCCTTTCTCTAGGCTTTATTTTTCCCTCAGTGCACATGTGCTCTCTATAAAGGAAGAGTGTTACTACTTTTATGATAGCTTCTTTTTCTTCATTTTTAAAGTTTTTAATTACAGTTTTATTATACCATACATTTCACCTACTCAAAATACACAGTTCATTGATTTTCAGTATGTTTGCTGTTGTGCAGTCATCACCATAGTCAATTTTAGAACATTTTCATCACCCCAAAAGAAGCTCCGTAGTCACTAGTGGTCATTCCCCATTCCCCACCCCTTAAATCTCTCCCTCTCCATTCCTAGGTAACCACTACTCTACTTTATTCTCTATAGATTTACCTATTTTGGTTATTACATATAAATGGAGTCATACAATGTGTGGTCTTTCGTGGCTGGCTTCTTTTTACTTAGCATGTTTTCAGAGGTCATGTTGGGGCATGTATGAGTACTTCATTCTTTTTTGTGGCTGAGTAATATTCCATTGTATGCATATACCACACTGATCCATTCATTAGTTGATAAACATTTGTGTACAGGTGTTTGTATCGATACATATTTTCATTTTTCTTGGGTATATTCTAGTAGTGGAATTACTAGGTCATATGGTATCTCTGTGTTTACCCTTTTTTAAATTATTTATTTTTAAAGATTTTAATTTATTTGAGAGAGTAGAGCGAGAGACAGAGAAAGCATGAGCAGGAGTGAGGGGCAGAGGAAGAGAGAGAAGCAGACTCTCTGCTGAGCACGGAGTCCAACGCGGGGCTCGATCCCAGGACCCTGAGATCGTGACTTAAGCCGAAGGCAGACACTTTGACTGAGCCACCCGGGCATCCTTACCCTTTTTTAAGAAACTACTAAACTGTTTTCTAAAGCAGCTACACCATTTAAAAATCCCTCAAGAAGTGCAGGTGGGTTCCAATTTCTTTTCTCCACGTCCCTTTGATTCCGGACATCCCAGTGGGTATAACGTATTATCTCATTGTGACTTCGATTTGCATTTCCCTGATACTTAGTTATGTTGAGAAACTTTTCATGTGCTTATTGGCCGTTTGTATATCTCCTTTGGAGTAGTCTGTTCAGATCTTTTGCTCATTCTTAAGTTGGCTTGTCTTTTTAAAATCAAGTTGGAATACTTCTTTATTGGGTACTAGATCCTTATCAGATTATATGACTTGCAAATATTTTCTCCCATTGTGCGGATTATCTTTCTCTTTCATGATAGCATTCTTTGAAGCACAGAAGTTTTTAATTTTGATGAAATTCAATTATGTATTTTTATGTGGCTACTTGTGTTTTTTTTGGTATCATAGCTAAGAAAACATTGCTTAATCCAAGGTCAAGATTTATACCTACAGTTTCTTCTAAGAGTGTTACAATTTTGGCTCTTAAATTTAGATCCGTTTTAATTTTTCTATGGGATCAGAGGTCGGGGTCCAGTTTTATTCTTTTGCATGTGGATATCCTCTTGTCTCAGCACCATTTGTTAAGAAGACTTATTCTTCCTCCCCACTGAATTGTTTTGGCATCCGTATCAGAATCAGTTGGCTTTAAATTTAGAATTTATTTCTGGACTCTCACTGCTGTTCCATTCGTTTTAACTTCTTATACATTGCTATCAGAAGGCTCTGAGGCAGATGGTTTCTTTTGAGCTGTATTCATCCTGCCTAAGCTGTGTTATTAGCTGGGAGCCTTGTAGTAATAATGGTTTTCTGGAAGGCTGTTTACTTGGGAAAAACTTTCAGGAAAGACACATTTTAAAGCATCTTAATTGCAGACTGGAGGTTTTCTTTGCCTCTGTGGAGTTACAAAGCTCAGTATTTGTAATCATGATTTTCTGTCTTTAGTCTTCTTGGCTTTCCTCATAGCTGTCCATTTGGAATTCCTATTTTCCTCCTAGGGACCTCTCTTGAGCCCCCATGGAATTTGAAAGCAATGGTCAAGTGAGTTGCATACATTTGTGTGGACTTAGAATAAAACCCTGTCCTGCTCAAGTGTATCTGTAGTTGGCCAGCATTCCGGCGTGTGGCCTGAAAATAATGGGGCTTGCTGGCAGTCGTCTTGTGGTTTTGAGGCCACGTTGGACCACACAGGTACCTTTGCATCCCAGGCTATTAGGTTGCCAGGATAACCGGGGTATAGGTAATTCAGTGTGTCTGCTTTTCTCAGTCATTCAGCCAGGTAGTCATAAACCCCTATCCAGGCACGTATTCTCTTAAACTCCTAAAACATAGATTTAATCATCATTCAAGGGCCTATGGTGTATTAATCCATTAATCATGTAATTGCTCTCGGGCGCCTGGGTGGCTCAGATGGTTAAGCGTCTGCCTTCGGCTCAGGTCATGATCCCAGGGTCCTGGGATCGAGTCCCGCATCAGGCTCCCTGCTCCTTGGGAGCCTGCTTCTCCCTCTGCTTCTCTCTCTCTCTCTCTCTCCCTCTGTCTCTCATGAATGAATAAATAAAATCTTTAAAAAAAAAAAAAAGATTTAAAAAAAAATCATGTAATTGCTCTCAAAATATCACTTTCCTGTTGGTCTAACAGTTGTGCTATAGCTCTTCCAAGATACATTTCATTTGGGTGATAATCATGTAATTTCTTCAGAATTATAGAATAATCCATTATCTGTGCATGCTGTGGTGGCCATTAATTTAATGAATATTTGCAGGGCGCCTGGGTGACTCAGTCAGTTAAACATCTGCCTTCAGCTCAGGTCATGATCCTGGGATCGAGTCCTGCATCGGGCTCCTTGCTCAGCAGGGAGCCTGCTTCTCCTTCCACCTGCCGTTCCACCTGCTTGTGCTCTCTCTCTCTCTCTCTGACCAAAAGGAAAATAAAATTTAACAACTGTTTGCATGCCATCAGTGTGCTAGGATCCTGTGGGGTATTATCTCCTCAGTGTATTGTCACCCTCAGCACACTTGTTCGGCCAGGAATTTATATGTGAAAGCACTTACCTTTGGGATTGCCTTATTAGGGCCTTCTGGGTTACCTCCATACAATGATTGTACTTAGCCAAACATGCCAGCAGTCACAAACTGTTATTCATCCATTTATTCAATAAATGTTGAATGAAAGCCTCCTGTTATGCCAAATGCTGTGACTGCTGCTGACCAAACAAAGGTGAGGACTGACAGCCTTCTCTGTCCATAGACCAGACATCATAAAATGATGTTGCTTAGAATTCTACGACTGCATCAGTGGATTTTTCTTACATATAACACATGGTACTTTGAGAACACATAATAGTCACCTACTCATTAAAACAACCAAAAAAATCTTAGGTGCCTACTATGTGCTAAAGGTGTTTGACTTGTGAAGATGAGGAACAGCTTCTGTGAGGAAGCGACAGTTAAGCCAGCAAGGCTAAGGGACAGTAGAAAATCATTCCATTATCGAGAGGGCAGCATATGCCAGAGGGACCAAAGAAGGCTATTATGGCAGGAAACCAGCACAGGTACAAAACCAGACTTAGACAGGACCAGGCCGCCACTTTTACCCAGCCTATAAACTGAGTCTTAATGAAACAGGTTAGCTCTTATTCAGATTTGATTTCTAGATAGAAATGTTAAATTTTAAAGTACCTTCTTATTTAGATCATTGTTTCTTCAACTTTACTGTGCTTAAGAATTACCTAAAGGACTTGTTAAAGCAGATTTTTGGGTCTCCACTCCCAGAGATTCTATAAGTCTGCATGGTGTTCAATAATTTGAATTTCTATTAAGTTTGCAGAAGTTACTGGTGCTGCTGGTCCTGGCCTTCCCATTTTTACTTAGAAATATATTCCTAGATTTTCAGTATCCTTTCAGTTCCTTAGAGTAACAAAATTAATTCATCTGTCTTGTCATTGTTTTCCTTGTGTATAACTAGTAAAGGATCATTTTTTAGTTATATAATTATTTTTCTTTTTTCAGGAGCTGTATTTTATAGAAGTTATTTTAAGTCTATACATTTATACTTACCTGTGTACCTTATGTATGTGTGTATATATGTATATACGTACACACAGGACTCTATGAGGTGATGTGGTAACAAACCGTATTGGAGAGGCTTAGCCCCAGAAATTAAGATACTTAAAAAGAAATTGTGACTAACAAAAACTTATAAAAAGTTACTAGTCCTACCTTGACAGCTGTTGAGATTTAAAATTTAGAACAGTATCATTTGGGATTTGGAAAGAGTTGGTGTTTCAGTAAGAGTAAACCTATGTATTATTGAATCCGTTTTTTATTTTTGTTTTTCTAGATCTGATTACTTGTTTAGACACTGCATCCAGTTTTTTGGAACCTGAATTCAGGTATGACCATATTTGTGACTTTTTCCCCCCTTAAATGTTACTCTTCACTACTCCATCATTATTCTTATACACTTAGGTATAATGTACATTAATATATGTGTCATAGGTGTGACAGATAATCATTGTTCTAAGACGTCAATAAATTAGAGCTTATTTAAAGCCATTGAGTTACCATATTTAAATTTTGCTTTAATTGTAGCATTTGGATCTTCTCTATAACAAAAGTATAATTTCAATATACTTTAAAAGTAGAACTAGTTGCTTTTCAAAATCTGGCAAAACTGCTAATGAAGTTAGAGGAGCTAATTTTTTTTTTCCTCAAAAAAGGGAAGAGAACGATTTAGGCTATGACAGAATTCTTCAGTGTTCTTGCCCAGGCAGCATTTCTACTACTGTTTCCCTGCTTTATGTCCTTGTCTCTTGTCTGGACTGGGATTCCCTTCTATTTGATTTTCCATTTCTAACCTTTGTTGGCTTTTATTCTGCCACTCACATTGCTGCCAAGTTTCGTTCTAAAATAAATGCCTGATCATTCCCCTACTTAAGAATCTTCAGGAGCTCCTTATTATTAAGACAAAATGCCATCCAGATTTCTTAACCTGGGTTTCAGGATCCTTCCCAGGTAGTCCTTGGACTATTTTTCCAGTCTCATGTACTCATGGATTCTTTTTTTTTTTTTTTTTAAGATTTATTTATTTGAGAAAGAGAGAGAGAGTGAGCGCAAGGGGGGGGGAGGGTCAGAGGGAGAAGCAGACTCCCCACTGAGCAGGGAGCCCGATGCGGGACTCCATCCTGGGACTCCAGGATCATGACCTGAGCCGAAGGCCGTCGCTTAACCAACTGAGCCACCCAGGTGCTCCTGTACTTATGGATTCTTGACACTGCTCTGAGCTCTCAGAACTTTTACCCAGAATTGCTTAACTCCTCTCTGCTTGGCAGCTTTATTCTCATCTTCTAAGACTGGTCTCACTAACCTCCCCCCAACTTGCTACCACTCCCCAAAGAGCAACCTTTATTTTGTCTTCATGGATAGTTCTCTGTGGGATGGCTGTGCTCCTCAGCACTTAGAGGATCCCAGTGAGCAGAGGTGACTCTGGCATCAGTGTCTGGCATACAGCCCTGCCACCAGGTCTTGGAGCCTCTGCTTCAGCTCCAGCATCCCCACCCACAGGCAAGCTGCTGTTTCCTCTTGCCTGGACTGCTGCACCGCCAGCCCACTGAGGTCTCAGCTTCTCCTCAGGGTTCCTTCCAGTCTCTTCTCAGGAGCCAGAATAATCTTTTTCAGAAATATGTGTATAAGCCTTAAAATCCTTTATTGACTTCCCATTTTTACTTAGAAATATATTCCAGACTCTTCACCCTAGCCCACAAGGCTTCTCCACGATCTGACTCCTGCCCACCTCTCCAACCATCTCTCAAACTAATGTTACCTTTTAATTTTACAGTATCACTGTACTCTGCCTGCACTGGTCATCCCAGTTGAAGACACACACAGGCCACCTCACCTCATGGACACACTGTTCCTGTCCATTAGGGTGCATTTCCCTCCCTTCACTGAGGCTTTGCTTCCTCAGAGCCCCATTTCCTGATGTTGGCAGTGCAGAGCCCTCTGCAAGAGCATCGACTCTGGAGCCCATATGCCACTTACCAGTTATGGGACCTGGGCACACTGTTTCTCAGTTCCCTCATCTGTAAAATGAAGATAATCTTAATACCTACCGTTAGGGTTCTTGTGTGGGTTCCTGAGGTACTCAGAAGGACGCCTGGCACATAGTAAATTTGCTGAATGTTAGTGTTACTTTTATTAAGCTTGCTTCCTCCAGGTTATTTCATGGAGTGCCTTTTCTTCATAGCAGAATCATAATCTGATTAATGACTCATTTAAGTATTAGTTTAATGTCTTCCCCCTGACCTCTGGAGTGTAAACCCAGGGAAGACTAGGCCGTATTTATTTGGTTGATGTTTGTAAACCCAATACCTAGCACAGCCCAGCACTCAACAGACAACATACTAGATATTCGGATAAATGTGTCGAGTGGGTGGGTGGGTGAGTGAGTGAATAAATGAACGCCAAACATTTTTAAGTCACATTTGATCAGTAGTGGGTTGGTGAAATAAATTGTGGTTTATCCACAAAATAGAATAGCAGGTAGCTGTTAAATATGAATAGGTCTTATAGTAAAAATATGTCTGCCATTCATTATGAAGTAAAATAAAGCAGTATGTAGAATATGACACAATTATTTTAAATATGTGGATGAAAGATGTTTTATATGGATGGATGGAATAAAGTGTGAAAGGGCTTTTTAGAAGTAGTGCTTCTCAGGGTAGTGAGGTTGTAGTATTTGAATGAACTGAAAAATGAATATGTGATTTTTGTTGTTGTTGTTCTTTTCCCCCAGTAAGTACAGAACTATTTTATACCCTTTAACTTGTTTTTATTTCACAGTAAGTACTGCCCAGCTGGTTGTCTGCTTCCTTTTGCTGAGATATCTGGAACAATCCCTCATGGATATAGAGATGTAAGTCTAAGCAGCATAGACTTATGTTCAAGTTGTGATAGAACTTTATTTTTTTTTAACTCCAGAATATGTTGATGTACCTAGTGTATATCTTTAATCTTGATTTATTTTCTAGGAATTATTTCTTTTTATTATGGATGTGATGTTTTATTCTTTTTCTTGTGCTACAAGTCTGTACTGTGTTACCACATCGGTAATCCTGTGTTTATTGAGAAAACTGCCCCAGTCAACTCATTTCTTGAGGAAGCCTAAGTGTCTTTGTTTATAAATTATCAAAAGAAAATTAAATACTAATCTTTTGTTTTTCCTTTCCTCAAGTCCTCGCCCTTGTGCATGGCTGGTGTGCACGCAGGAGTAGTGTCAAACATTTTGGGTGGCCAAATCAGTGTTGTAATTAGTAAAGGTATCCCGTACTACGAGAGTTCTTTGGCTAACAATGTCACGTCTGTGGTGTAAGTATATACGTTATTGGTCATATAAGGAAGGGCGTGGGGCAGGGGTGGGTTAGCAGCTAGTTAGACCTCAGCAATATCACTGTTAACGGTGTTCATGAAATAACATTGGTGTGATGAGTCCTCCCATTTTTGTGTGCTCTTTGTCCACGTGTACTGAGGAGGACAGGCAGGGTCGCACTGGGAGTCATTTAGGAGGATGATTTGTTCTTTTCTGCATGTTGAAAATGTCTAGAGTAAAGGTCTAAAAGTCTGTGGCCAAATTTTTACTTCATTTTAAAGATTAGAAGGCATAACTACTCTGTTTCTTACAGCCAGTGTGATCTAGGATGGATTGAGGATAACTGAAATACTCTTGAATATAAATTAAATTTTGACATAAACCAGGGACGCCTGGGTGGCTCAGTCAGTTAAGTGGCTGCCTTCGGCCCGGGTCATGATCCCAGGGTCCTGGGATCGAGTCCCTCATCGGGCTCCTTGCTCGGCGGGGAGCCTGCTTCTCCCTCTCTCTCCCTCTGCTTGTGCTCTCTCTGTCAAATAAATAAAATCTTTAAAAAAAAATTTTTTTTTGACGTAAATCAGAGGTAGTCGTATTATGAATCCTCCTCTCCTCCAAAGAGAATATTTGAAGAGTGTATTTTTATAGTCACTACAGTGATCTGTTTTATGAAACATAGACTAGGCATCAAAAGCAGGAAAAGTTGAAACATTAAATAAAAATGTAAACCTTGGAATCTGTTTTAGTAAATCTTGCCTGTCAGATGGGCTCAGTCCTGTAGACAATACTAAACCTAACTGAAACCAGCCTCTCTTCAGAGGTTCTAGGCCATTTTTCATTCAGAAGATGAGAGCATGATCCATATCCACGACTGTGATAAAACAGGAGTCACCAAACTTTTCCTGTAAAGGACCAGCTAGCAAATATATTAGGCTTTACGGGCCACACGTTCCTGTCACTTATTCTCTCTTGGTTTATATAAGACTCTTTAAACGTGTAGAAACCATTCTGCGCTCACTGGCCATACGAAACAGGCCGTGCATGAGTGAGCTATCATTTGCCCATCCCTGATATAGAGTTAGCAACCTTTCCTTCTCTTGGTTTCTTCTAGATGATTTTATGCAGACCTTATCATTCCTTTCCCCTCTTCTGCCTTTAGAAATAATTTTGTCAGTTCTTTCTTTCATACTTTAAAGGAAAAATAAGGACAGGTTGCATCCACTTGTAATAATGCTTTGAATGTTGTGCTGCAGCGGGAGCAGACACTGATGATTTTATCCCCCCAGGTTCTTTAGAGTCCCTGGTAAACTGGTCATGTGTCCCATGGCTCCATTCTCCCCAGCTGCATTTACTTGCCTGTTACTTTGAAATCCAGATGCAGTGCTGCATTGTAACACTGAAACTTGTTCTTAGCTGTTTATATCTTATAAGAGATGCAGTCTCTCCTGTCTGTAGCCGGCTTTTTTTCTCTTTACCTTAGCCTCATTCTCTGGGAATTACAGTGTATTTGCAACAAAGGAAATGAGAGTTTGAGGAATGAAAGATAATAAGTACATATTAAAGATTACGTGGGCATACTTGCACATTTCATGTATGAAACAGGCACTAGATACTTGTAGAGAAAATTGTTTCTGCTGATTTCAGCAGTTGTTCTGCTTTGAAATGAGACTTTTTTTAGCTAAGAGCAGCATCAGTTGTCAAATTTGTGGCCATAGAATATCCTTAGTTCTTTATATGGTAAAACAAAAACAAAAGAAAAAGTTTTACTAAGACAAATATGGGGAGGTCAATATATGAATGTCACCAAGCACAACTTTTCTGTTTTTCAGGGGACACTTATCTACAAGTCTTTTTACATTTAAGACAAGTGGTAAGCCTCTCGTGGACTTTATAACTTATTATAATTTGTGTAATAGTTAATATTTTATAAACTATCATGCAATATGCCAATTGCTGTTTTTTGGTTTTTTTTTTGCACCTTCCCATATGTCACAATAATATAATGGGTGGAATAAACTGGAGGTTTTATATTAATAGGGAAATGATCATGTAAGCAAGGAAAGTTACTTAGGAAAGTTGATTTTTTAATATGTCTGAAGAAGTAATTAATTCAACAGAAAATACTTATTGAGTGCCTTTGATTTGTCGGGCATAGTCCTGGTGCTAGTGAAACAAAAGTGAGCAGAAGTTAAACAAAATCCTCCTTTCTTGGAGTTTAAATACTGGTATTGAGAGATTGACAGTAAACAGATAAATAAATTACTACATATAATATACTCTTTATAATATTATAGAAGATGTAGAAAAATAAGGAAAGAGGATAGGCAATGCAGGAGGGACTGGTCTGGAGTTTTAAGTGGGGTCACGGTAGGCCTCGTGGAGAATGTGACATCTGAGCAAACACCTAATGGCAATAGGGAGTGAGTCATTCACTGGTCTGGAGATAGTGTCCCAGGGAAAGGATAATGTATTGCCATTAAATTGATGGTTATTGCTTGTGAGTAAATATGTATGTACATTGCCTGATGAGACACAAAAACATGGACCCAAGAAACATTTGCCTACTTTTGAAATTCCTCTATTACAGTGTATTATTAGCATAGTGTATGTTAATTGAATGTACAATAGAAAGTTTCCATTGAGCGAATAATACAGATTGTGAATTTTTATCTGGAAACCAAATTACTGTCTTTTTTCTTTCAGGTTGTTATGGAACACTGGGGATGGAATCTGGCGTGATTGCCGATCCTCAGATAACAGCATCATCCGTGCTGGAGTGGACTGACCACACAGGCCAAGAGAACAGCTGGAAACCCGAAAAGGCCAGGCTGAAGAGACCTGGGCCTCCTTGGGCTGCTTTTGCCACTGATGAATATCAGTGGTTACAAATAGATCTGAATAAAGAAAAGAAGATAACAGGTTAAGAGACATATTTTTCTAGAATGATTTATAGTTCTGATTTTGTTTGGAAACCTGATGACATCTAAGATTTTCATAGAAAATTAGGTCACCGCAGATTTAATTGTATGGTTTTAAGTTCTCTTTACTGGTGTTAAATATTCCTGAAGGTGGCTTTATAAAACATGGCCGAGGAAAAAACTTGGTATTTGATTTTTATTAGCTTTTCTTTTTCATTGTAATAAGATTCTTTAAAGGTAGTGTTTCAATTAAGTGATCTTGACATTTGAAATAATCATCTCTTAGTCATTAAAAGAAATTTATATTCAAGGAGTTCATTTTAAGTGCTATAAATAATATTCTTCAGGTGCTGAATACAAGTTTATTTGGAGCAGTTTATCAAATGGTCAGAATAATTTATTAGAATTAGGTTAGGTAATTTTGTTAAAGATTTATTTTGATATGGTACTGGAAAAAATAATTGTTTTAATCCATTCATTCCCAGGGAGTCATTGTTACTTGGTAGGTGAGATATATTTTATAGTGATATGAACACAAGCTGTCAAAGTAGAATAGTCCTTTCCTCATGTGCACCCATAATTCTTGGCATCTTTTTTTTTTTTTAAAGATTTTATTTTTTGAGAGAGAGAACAAACAGTGGGGGAGGGACAGAGAGGGAGAGAGAGAGAGAAGCAGACTCCCCGCTGAGCAAGGAGCCCAATGTGGGACTCGATACCAGGACCCTGGGATCATGACCTGAGCCAAAGGCAGACACTTAACCAACTGAGCCACCCAGGCGCCCTAATTCTTGCATCTTTACAACGGAACAAAACCAAGGATTTAGTTGCTGTTATAATGAAACCTTGCACTTAGAGATGGTAATATGCTTTTGGCAAAAATGTTTTAACAGTGTACTTTAGGTGTTTGTGCTTCAATGCTGAACAGACTTTAAGGATCAGACCATGTGCACTAATGAAGGCAACTTTCCATTCCCCAGGCATTGTAACCACTGGCTCCACCATGGTGGAACACAATTACTATGTGTCAGCTTACAAAATTCTGTACAGTGATGATGGACAGAGATGGACTGTCTACAGAGAACCTGGTGTGGAGCAGGATAAGGTAAAATGATTGCCAGGATATTTTAAAAAATGGGCCTTTGCCAAGAATCACGGAAGCTCTCCTGTGTAATGTTCAAGTTAGCTATCATTTGGTCTTTGTGCTCTTCTGGTTATTTTAGGCTGTGTTGGTTATTAGCCTTACTCTTCTAACTATAGTTAGGAAATTCTCAGTGGTTCTAGGTCCCTTTTGATGATTGTTAACATTTTTAACTCAATTGTTTAGGTACTTTATTAAAAAATTCTAAAAAGGCGGGGTACCTTGCTGGCTCAGCCGGTATAGCATGGGACTCTTGATCATGAGTAATGATCAGGGTCATGAGTTCAAACCCCACGTTGAGTGTAGAGCCTACATGAGTGAATGAATGAATGAATGAGTGAATGAATGACTAATTTTCAGTAAGTGGTGATAACTTACTAAAAAAAAAAAAAGAAATTCTAAAAAGGAACTTGTAATTTCTTGTCTTAAGTTTTTCTTGTTAATCCACAGAATGATGGAGAGCCTAATTTGTTCCCAGATTTCTTCTATGTAGACAAGGGGGACAAAAGACAAAAGCTAAAGGCAAAAGTGCATTAAAGTGTTGGATATAGACTTGAAAGGTCATTTCAGGATCACCTTACCAAATTTTGTCTTAGAAAACTTCTGTTTTTTCATACCTGAAGAATTTCCTTAACTTCCGTGTTACCTATCAAATTGTTGTTTTAGTTAGGAGACAGTGATAATGCAGGAATGCTCTAGCGCAGATAAGGGGTGGGGAGTAGGGAGAAGTGGCTATCCTCTAGATATCACTTTCACCCAGGCTTCTGGCCCATGATCCACCACAAGACCTTGTACCTGGGGGGAGTCCTTGTCCCTGAGGAAGGTAGATTTCTTCTTATCTAGAATTGAAATTATAAGCACAAATTTTTTTAATGAAACTTCCCTGAGTTTTGTTTCAATTATATGATACTATCTGTTCTCTATCATATATACGATTTGCTAATATATCTTCAATTACCACTTTTCTTATCTCTCTATTCAGAAAACTCCAGGGGCTCCTTATAATCTGTCATATGGATCTAAACTCTTCCGTTGTTATTCAAGGCCTTCCCTCTCTTCTGCCTGATATCACATGACCTTCATCTGTGGTGAGGCTCTACCCATTGAAGTAAATAACAGTATTTATACCTATCTTCCTTCTGCTGAATAACCCCAAACTTGGCTGCTTTTTACTCTGGGCACATCCATACTTATTTATAGAATATTTATTATACTTGTGGAATATAGTTAATTTTTTATAAAATTATAAGAATTATTCATGCTTATATCATAAAAACATCTAGCACCATTGAATTATGTTTCTGAAAAAGACTTTCTCTTTTGCTTCATTTTTTGAAAGGTAGTTTCATAAGGTATAGAATTCTAGGTTGGTGTTTTTCCCTCCACACTTTAAATATGCTGTTCCACTGTTTTCTGGTTTGCATTTTTCCAGTAAGAATTCTATCTTTCATACCTTTGTTCCTCAATATGTAATGTGTCTTTTTATTCCTTAGCTGTTGTTAAGATTTTCTTTTTATCATCTGTTTTAAGCAATTTGATTATGATGTGCTTTTGTGTAGTTGTCTTCATGTTTCTTCTGCTTGGGTTTCTTTGAGCTTCTTGGATCTGTTGGTTATAATTTGCTTCAAATTTGGAAAATGGTGGGGCATGTTTTCTCAAATTTGTTGCCTCCCTAATTCTAATTACATGAATATTATGACTCTTAAAGATGTCTCACAGTTTACTGATACCCTGTTCATTTTTTTTTTTTTTAATCTCTCTCCATGTTCTAGTTTGGAAAATTTTATTGTTTTGCCTCCAAGTTCACTAATTGGTTCTGTAACATCTAATCTATTAATCCCATCCAGTGTACTTTTATCTTCAGTGTTGTACTTTTACTTCTAGATTTTCAGTTTTGGGCTTTTAAAATTTTTTCCAAGTTTCTACTGAGCATGCTTACGCTTTTTTCTGCCCCTAAAACATATGGAATATATAGTACCTCTTTTGATGCCCTTATCTGCTGATTCTGTCTACTTATGTGTGACATGTGGGTCTTTTCATGTTGATGGATATTATGGGTCATATTTTACATACCTGGTAATTTTTTATTGGTTGCCAGACATTATGAACTTTTACATTGTTTGGTGCTAGATTTTCTATTATTATTTATCTAATTTTGAGCTTTATTCTGGGACATGGGTACTTGGAATAATTGGAATTATTTGATCTTTTTAAGGTCTGCATTTTAGCTTTGTTAGGCAGGACCTGAGTAGCTTTTAGTCCTAATTTTTTTTCTACTGTTAGTACTGTTCCAGGTACTCACCCCAAAGTCTCATGTATTATGAGTTTTCTCCACGATATCTGTTAGTAATGTGAACTGTTCCCAACCTTGCCTAGCTCTGAGAATTGTTCTGCTGCCTCCCTTCCAGCAGTTCTTTTCCCATCCACAGATCGTTTCTTTACATGCAACTGAAGATTTAAGGGGAAACCCCCCTACAGACCTGAGAAGTCTCTTCTCTATCTGCGCAGCTCTCTTCTCTCCTACACTCTGTCTCACAGAGTCTAGCCATCTTGGCCTCTCCATCTCCGAGCTCTGTGTCCTCTCTCTGCGCAGCTCTCTTCTCTCCTACACTCCGTCTCACAGAGTCTAGCCATCTTGGCCTCTCCATCTCCGAGCTCTGTGTCCTCTCTCTGCACAGCTCTCTTCTCTCCTACACTCCGTCTCACAGAGTCTAGCCATCTTGGCCTCTCCATCTCCGAGCTCTGTGTCCTCATTTCAGTGAGACCACCAAGGCTCTCTCCGGACAATATTGGGGCAATAGAAAGGCTCACCTCATGTGTTTCTCTTCTCTCAGGGATTAAAGCCCTATGCTGCCTACTGTCCAGTGTTGGAAAACCCTTATTTCATATATTATCTGATTTTTCAGATGTGTAAGGCAAAGAGTAAACTTAGTCCCTATTAGTCTGTTCTGGATAGAAGTGGAAGTCCTTACACAGAATACCAGTCTCTTGCCTCACATTAGCCCATCTGCTCCCTCATCTGCCTCCAACTCAAGAGTAATTGGTGTATTCATTTTCACACCCTTTCTAAGTATGCACACATGCATAAGCACATAAACTGAGACAGCTTTTGGGTTTGTTTTTAGAAGATAGGAATGAATATACAACTTGCTTCATCATATATTGCTTTTTAATAGTGTGCTGTATCTCTGTGTGGTAATATCCTGTAAAATTTAAGTTCCTTGAGAGTAGGAACTTGGACTTCCATTTCCATCTTTATCCTCATGACTCCTTGCAGACCTCGCTACACACAGGGGCTTATAATAAATGCTCATAGATTATAGCAGATCTTTTTTACTTAGTTTATATAAAATCTTTTTCCTTTAAGGTTTTTTATAAAAATGAAACTGCGGTGTGGAGTAAGACCTCAGGGATAGTTTTCATGTCCTAAAGTGATCATCGTTCCTGTACCACTAATGTAATAGACTGCAAATATTTGCCTTCATTTTATTTCAGAGTAATAGCTGAGGAAATAATGGGAGTTTACTAGTTTGGAAATTATTATAACTTCAAAACAAACCTTGTAGAAAATGAAGGCTATTAACACATCTTAGAAGTTTACAATCTAATGCTTTGTGAATCAGCCAAAAGAAAATAGCTACATTTGGACATGACTTAATGGAAGAGTTAAACATTTACTTGCTCTCACATTAACTGATAAAATACAAACCACTTTGATTTTAGGCAGGTATCTATTTATTAGCAGCCTTTAGAAACTAGCCAGCTGATTTGGCGTAAAGGAACAAGGAAGACTTTTCACTTAGTGGAGCCCTAGAGTTAAGTCAGGAGACTCGGACTCAAGTCACTGCTTGGTCATTGACTGGTTATGCAGTCCGTTTACATTCTGGAGCTGCAGTTTTCTGGGTTCTGCCTACTTCATGGGGTTGTCATGGAGAACAGCTGAGTTACTTCTATGAAAATGCTTTGTAAATAAGAGCTCTTGCAGTGTTACATACTATCATTATTTGCTCAAAATGGTTGAGGGGATGAGGTAGTCACTTGAAATCGTATTTTTATGTATTTTTATCTAAAGACTATTCGTATAATACGTATAATGCATCTGTTGCTGTTTACTTAGGATCATTAAAATTAGGCAACAGTGTTTCAGAATCGCTTGTGAAGTTTAGATAGCAGCAGAGAATGAAAATGGATAATACAGGAACTGTCTTTATGTAGTTTCTCCAGTAGGTGGAAGTATATTGCTGTTATGCATTCCTTAGTGTATGTTCACTTTCTGTCTCTTTTCTGAGAGAAAAAGTATGAGAAGTATACAGTAAAGCATTTCCTCTAAGACCTTGTATTTTCAATTATGCTTTACTTTGAAAATTAATATTTTTAAATAGCTGGTAGTGCCGCAGGACTAGAATTACTCATTTATTACAAGAATTACACTGTCTCACTGCAGCTGAAACATTCTTCTCAAATTGCCAAATTAGCATTTTTGGTATGTTTCAATCATTTTAAAATCATTTTTGTACTCAGTACTCTTAGTTTTTGATAAGAATGCGCAGCTTAATAGTCCAAATTATGATTTATTTTCTGAGAAATTAATTCTTACTGTCATACTTTACAGATCTCATTTAAGGCCCAAAGCAAAAACCAAAAATACGTTTCAGTGGAACAGTTTAGCCGTGACCTCTGTTGACATAAAGTACCAATTTTTTGTTTTTTAAAGATATTTCAAGGAAACAAAGATTATCACCAGGATGTGCGTAATAACTTTTTGCCACCAATTATTGCACGTTTTATTAGAGTGAATCCTACACAATGGCAGCAGAAAATTGCCATGAAAATGGAACTGCTTGGATGTCAGTTTATTCCTAAAGGTAAAGCAATAGTATGTTATTTAATTTAAAATGGCTCTGCTATTCTCAGAGAAAATAAGTAGTGATAATATGAGTGTTCGGCTTTTAACTACAGTATCTTCTTAAAGAGGATTTTTAAAAGAAATAGTTATCCTATTAAAAAGCCAGTTACCAGAATGTTTTCCAAGGTTACAAGTGGAAGAAGAGAGCATCGTCGATGAGATAATGAAATGAGATTGCTTTTCAGATCTAGTCTCAATCTTAATTTTTAATCAGGTCCCATGAAGCATAATATTGTACCATCAATACCGATGATTGTAACGGTAACCTTAGTCCAAGTGCCTTTTCCGTTGAAAAAATTTAAAGTGGAAGTAACTTCCCTCAGTATTCTAGAATATTTTAATACCTTATTTACTGTTGTATCTCTAGAACCTACCACAATGCCCCCACGTAGTGGGCCCTCCACAAACAGTTATTAAATGATTGAATGAGTAGTATGTCAAGCTGTGATGATACTTCTGTAGCTTTAGAGTTTAACGTCATCCACCTCCTCCATGTTCTCCTACGAAAATTATTTTAAAAACAATTGAATTTTATAAAAAGTGAGAAATCCCAGTAAGTTTGTATGTTTAATGTGTAGTATATTTATCCTTCTGGCATATTGCTGTCCAAGATTTAAAATTACTGGGCAGAAATAAGTCCTCTAGGATATGTTGAAGATATTTAAATTACTGTTTTTAGCTATGACTCTTATAAGCAAAATGTATAAACTTTTCTAAACCATTTTTCAAGGTCGTCCACCAAAACTTACTCAACCTCCACCTCCTCGGAACAGCAATGACCTCAAAAACACTACAGCCCCTCCAAAAATAGCCAAAGGTATGCTTCCTTTAAGTGTGAGAATTTGGTATTCCCTGGATTTGTGGTATAATTTTCCATAAATGTATTAAAAGCATTATAAAATAACTTTGTTTTAATCAAGTTGATGTAGATAAAAGAATAAAGAGTTTTTAAAACTTTTTCCGAGGTCGAGCCCCAAAATTTACTCAACCACTACAACCTCGCAGTAACAATGAGTTTCCTGCACAGACGGAGCAAACAACAGCCACTCCTGATATCAAAAATACTACCGTGACTCCAAGTGTCACCAAAGGTATGCAAATCCAGAAATTAACACCTGTTACATAGTAGCATTTTATATTGTTTGTAACTTAATTTTCAGGAGCATTTCCAGCTTTTAAACCATCAATTTCTTTTCCCCTTAACTGTATTTCTTAACAGAAAAAACTTTTATTCCTCTCCTTGGAAAAGAAACTGATTACATTGCTCTGATTTCTCTTCTCTGGTGTCGTTGTAGAATTGTTCTTTAAATATTTAGAGATGGCTGCTGTGTTCTGGGTCTCCTCTTGTGATCTTTTTTTTCCTACCACAGCTAAACACAAGGAGTCTCTCTTTCTAGAAATAACTAAAACCATAGCAGGAAACAAACTTTTTCCCCCCCCTCTGGTTATATATTAATTTGTTGGATAGGGAATTTTGGTGGCAAAAAGGGAAGAAGGGGGAAAAAACCAGTTTGGTTGAAAACTGACACTTTTTTAAAAATACTGTGAGTTAACATATTCATTAAAAAACTTTGGTCTCTATTTAGAAAATGTTTATATCGTAATTTTTTCATATTATAAATATAAATGTAGAATTTACTTTCAAATTTTATTACCGATAAATAAGGTATTAACACATACGAAACATAATACTTTGATTTTACTAGTTGTTGAAAAACAAAATTCCAGTTGAATTCGGAAGAAACCATCAGTGTCATAGAGGAATTAATTTCAGTGTTGGCAGATAAAGCATTTTCAGGACAGTGCAGAGAAGAGAAGGCAATTCATTCCGAGTAACTTGTGCCACACGGGACTTTATTCATTCTCATTTTCTGAAAATTTGCCTGATTCACATAACTCCAACTTTCCACGTGTCACTTTTTTTCCCATCTTCTAAGGTATTTTCTAGACAGACCACTTTCTTTCTCATGCTGCTAGAAAAGCTAAAGAGAAGCAAGACTTCCTAGAGACAAGAGATCTCAGTGTCCCACAGAACTTCTTACCATTTTGCAGATGATGTCTGTTTGGGCAGAATCCCAGACCACATGTCTGGATGGAAGAACAGTCATTTGAAAGTATTGCTCCTTAAAGTCTGATTATAGAATCTTAAAATCTCAAGACTAAAACTGTCCTTAAAGCATTTTCTTCCAGAGCTAGCATTCCTGTAAGCTTCAGAAGAATAACAAAGAATGTACAGGTCTTTTCAGTTAAAAACCTCTTCTCTCCTTTTCTCTGGGATGGTGGTGTATAGACTTTTTATTCTTTTTTGAACCTAAGCAGATTTTTTGAAACCTCTGATTAAATCGAACCGTATCTACCTGACCTGATTATTCTCTCTCCAATTTCACAAATTTTAGGGATAAAGCACATTTACCCCTCTGACTTCTTAGTGCTTTCTAGCCCTGAGTCATGATCTCTGTTTTATGCACTTCTCCTTTTCCATTTTTACATCCAGGCTGAGAGCGATGCTAGAGAAAATCATATCATGGTCAGATTTGTGCCACTGTAGCTTCCTGAATCCTCTCCAGATGGGGCCCTCAGCACCAGCCGGGGGTTTTTCTGTTTCTCTGGTTAGCTCTTCTGTCTCTTCTCAGCAGTCACTTCTCCATGTTTTTCAAACCCTTGACTCAGAGATTATTTACTCACTCTGAGTTACCACTTCAACTTTTCAAAGAAAGTAAAAGCAAGTAGAAGGAAACTCCCTGTTTGTGGAGCTTGTAAACTCACCTGTACCCTCTGTCCACTGCGTGGAAGGAGGGAGTTCCTTGTACTGTCCAAGGCTGATCCACCTGTGCCCTTGTTGCCATCCATCCACCTTCTCAGAGGCCTCAGGTTATTGATTATCCTCTCCCTCTCCTGCATCGGCAGCCTCTTTCTCTCTTGGATACAATCATAAGGGTACCTAAGATGTTGTGGGTCAGGCCCCACAGTGTCTGGTGCTTAGCCCCCAGGAGGGATCAGCGGTGGCTGTGTCTGTCCTCATTGCTAAGATGGGGCGGGGGGGCGGTGGGTGGCAAACTAGGGAAGAAGCTGATGTCTCAAGCGACCTTAGGCAGACCATTTGCTGTATCTGGGCCTGGGCTTCCTTATCTGTGGAGGGAGATAAGAGGATTAAATGATCTCCTTATTCCTGCAGGCTCAAGCATTGTCCTTTTCTGCCCTGTTGATACAATTGGCTTTTTCATACTTAACACCGTGTTGTTATCTTCCTATATCTATAAATATTTCCCCCATCCCCCTAATATACACATTTCCAATTGCTGGATAATATTTTACTATGAAAAAGATATTATGTATTTATTCCCTTTCATTTTGGGGCATTTGGATTATTTCCAGTTTTTTACTCTTGAAGATACAGAAACCTCTTTAAAAATGCATCTGTGAATGCTATCTTAATTTTTTTCTAAGAATAAATTCTAGACATGGAATTGCCAAGTAATCAATTTTTATACATATTGCCCCAAAATGATAAAGGATCCATTTAAAGTCCCATAAAAATAACTGTTTCTTGATATCCTTTCTAACAATTATTCTTTTAAATACTTGCCAATTCGATGAGCAGAAATAGCATCTTATTCTTGTTTTAACTTCTCTTTCTGTGATTACTAGTGAAGCTAACATGTTGAATACTCACTTATGTTTTCTAATTGTATTGCTCGTTCATCTCTGCTGATTTTTCTATTGATTGGTTTTGACGTATAAACTCTGTAATATAGAGATGATGGTAACCCTTTATCACATATTCAGAAATATATTTTCCAAGTTTTTCATTGGTCTTTCAGTTTGTCTTGGTGTTTTAAAAAGCAACTATGAAAAGTTTTAAGTGTATACAGAGCTGAAGCAAGTAGTGTGACAGACTTCCACATTATCTGTGAAGGCTGCTGCCATTGACTCACACACGCCCATTCTCGTTCCATGAACAATGTGTGTGGCAGTTTTTGAGACAGAAAAGCTTTGAAGGATGATGTGGGTAACCTTCCCCCTTTATCTTCATGACTCTGCCCTTGGTGTGTTTTCAGATGTGGCCTTGGCTGCGGTCCTAGTCCCGGTGCTCGTCATGGTGCTCACCACCCTCATCCTCGTAGTAGTGTGCACTTGGCATTGGAGAAGCAGGTGAGTCCCTAACCAGCTCACCTGCTTGTCCTAGAAGGGGTGTTTCCAAGTGTGAAATAAAAACTAAATATACAAGGTGAACTACCATTCACCTTTTTGAGAAGGGGAGAGTTAAGGTAGTTATTAAATCAAAATACATTGGTTTCTCCTTTCCATAAAAAATTTGTTCAGTAGCGTAGTCAGTTACAGAGTGCCTTTATTGTATCAAAATCTGCTTTACGTCGCCTGACACGTAATAGGTACTTAGTAATATTTCCTGAAAGAACGAGACACAACTCCTATCTCCCAGGTGTTTGGCAGGGTTGATTGACAAGACGTGGAACTGTAATATGGCTGGAGGAGTTCTTTTTGAAGTGCTGGGGAGCACAGATGTGAGAACCATGAGAGTTATCTGAAACCTTTTCTGCAGGAAAGAGTAATCCTCAAGTTTGTTTCGCCTTAACGAGAACGTTGGATTTGCCTGAATGGAGGAAGGTAGAGAACAGCCCAGACTCTGTGCTTGAGCGAAGGCACAGAGACATGGAGTGCAGGCAGGGCAGTGAGTGCTCATGTGTGGGCGGGGTACGGGAGAGGGCTGAGGAAGAACCGTGCAGGCGCAGCCTGGGCCTGGGTCCAGGAGGCCTTCAGGGCCAGAGGGATTCAGGTTTCATTTGGTAGGTGGGGGTCTCCCTGAGGGGGGTGAGGCAAACGGGTGAGTTTATGAGATGAGGCACAACTGGCTGTCTGCAAAGGAAGGAGGAGGGGTCCCGGATGATCGGAAGTTTCTGACTTGTGCACTTAGACCAGGAGAGACGTCCTGAGTGGAGATGATGGAGCAGGAGGGACAGGTTTGGTGGACGAGAGCGTGACTTCATTCGTTCCCTCAGCTATTTGAGCTCCTGCCTTGTGCTGAGTACTGAGCATGTGCTGGGATTCCAGTGTGAGCCCCAGAGTTCACAGACTGGGAAAGGATACAGTGCAGAAGATGGGCAGCGATGGTACCATCATACACTGTGTGCCACCAGAAGAAGCTGAAGAAGCAGCTGGATCCTGGATTCATGGCTGTAGGAAGGCCGTGTGGACAGAGACCCAGCAAGTTACTCTGAGGGCAGGGAAGTCCAGGGTGTTCTCGGGGAACTGGGTAGAAGCAATAGGAACAGTGAGGACAGCAGCAACAGCTCGTTTTTATACAAAATGAAAGCTGATTTTAGGCATTAGTGTAAGTTCTTCACATGGTTCAATTCATTTAATCCTCAAAACAACCTACAAAGCAGGTACTGTTTTACAGAGAAAGAAGAGACAGCGCATACATGACTTATATGAGGTCACCCGATCCACACGCAGCAGAGCGGAGTGGTCAGTCGGGCAGTCGAGTCTCATCCACTACAGTCAAAGCCCAGAGGGCGAGGATGGGGAGGCGGGAGGCAAGTCCTGAAATCCGTTTTGGCTCGTGCTTAAAGGACCCTTTGGATGTTCAGATTCTCAGGACACAGATGGAAATCAATGGATTTGCATAGTTTGTATTTGAAACTGAAACAGACCTAATAGTAACTTTCCCATAAGAACCCACACATCACCTGTGGGTCTTTGATGAGATTCTTTTTATCTGTAGACTTAGCCTTTCTTATTCCTTTATCCCCTGAGCAGGAAGTACCTTGGGTAACAGAATAGCTATCTCAGGAGATGGTTGTGTAAAATTTATTGAGAGTCCAAAATTTATGTTTCAGCAGTGGCGACTTTGAAATGGAGGGCCCTGCCGGGTAGGTCAACAAATGGAAATGTGTACTCCTGACTAATTATTAACTTGAGTGTTTATCCCGCACTTTCAGAGCTGTCTTACTCATGAATTCACTCTGTTTGCTAACGTGTTTTTTCTCTATTTTTCCAGAAAGAAAAAAACTGAAGGCACCTACGACTTACCTTACTGGGACCGGGCAGGTAAGCCAGGACTTTGCACCCCCTCCCATCAGAGGGAAGTCCCACCCCTCCAGGTGGCAGTAGTGGAAGAGGAGAGTTGTTTTCAGGCCCACATAAACTCCCCAACACTTGGGAGAAAAATGATCTTCCTCTAACCTTCTGATCATTTTTACTCTTCTATAAAATCTCTTGTAGCCAATAAGTAATGCAATGAAAAGTAAGGATTTCTCGTAACGCACCCTCTGTTCCTTTTTCCTGGAAAACCTGTGCAGTTTGTGCCACATATCTGTTTTTCTTGAGGAGACCAGCTTTCTTTGTGGACTATGTAAGCCCTGTGTAAAAGCACTGTGGCCTTGGTAACACAGTGCGTGTGTGTCACTGTGTTGTGGGTACTTCCCAAGTAGAGCCTAGCAGTTTGGGTATTGGGAGGTCGGCTGTCTCTGCCGTGATGAGTTGTCTTCTGAACTCTACTCTGGGGGCAGAGGACAGCAGGCGACTCCAGAGGCCCCCTGCAGGTCTACTTTCCGGTCTTGCTACTGGAACAGTAAAAGGCAGAGTTCACCGCTGTGACTAATGTAGAAAAAACAGTGGTGGGGGCAGATTCTGTGCTACTAACACCCCAAGGTAGATCTTGGGAAGTATTTTTTCAGAAAAACTTATCAAAAACCACCCTACAAGAGACAAACTGTATTTGCCTGCATTTTTATAGGAGTGATTTGCTTCTGTATATGCTTTTGATAGAAATTTCTACCATGTTCTGCATTGCCCTAGATATCCCATCAAAGAAAAAAAAAAAATGAGCTTGAACAACTTAAGGAATTAGAACAAGAACAAACTAAACCCAAAGCTACCAGAAGGAAAGAAATAATTAAGAGAGAGAAACAAAATGGAGAATGGGAAAACAGAGGAAATCGGTGAAATCAAATGTTAGTTCTTCAAAAAGTTTGACAAACTTTTAGATGGAATAAGAAAAAAGATTGAAACTACTAAAATCAGAAAAGAAAGTGCAGGCATCACTGCTGATTCTACAGAAATGAAAAGGATTATGAGAGTATGTTGAACAGTCATATGCCAAAAAATTGAATGAACTAGGTGAAATGGACAAATTTCCAGAAATATAAAACCTACCAAGACTAAATCACAAAGAAATAGAAAATCTGAATTGACTTGTATATAACTACTAAAGAGATTGAGTCAATAATCAAAAATCTCTCAAAAAAGAAAAATCCTACCAAATGCTTAAAGGAGAATTAAGCCTTAAAAGATTCCACCAAAAAAAAAAAAGCTGTTAGCACCAATAACTGAGCCAACTCTCAGGATACAAAGTCAACACACCTTTTACCTCCTTGGTTAAATGAACTTCTAAGTATTAACATTAGTTGCATTTCTGTACACAAACTGAACAGTCTGAAAAGGAAATTATAAAAAGTTTCACTTACATTTGCATCAAAAAGAATAAAATACTTAGTTCATTTAACCAAGGAGGTAAAAGACTTGTACAATGCAAACTATAAACATTGCTAAAGAAATTTAAAAAAGACATAAATGAAAACATACCCTGTGTTTGTGGATTGAAAACTTAATATTGTTAATATGCCAGTACTACCCAAAGTAATCTATAGATTCAATAGCAATCCCTATCAAAACTCCTTTGATATTTTTTGTACAAACAGAAAAATCCATTCTAAAATTCATATAGAATTTTAAGGGACTCCAAATAGCCAAGACAGTCTTGGAAAAGAAGAATAAAACTAGAAGATTTCACATATCCTGATTTCAGAATTTACTGCAAAGTTAATCAAAGCAGTGTGGTATTGGCATAAATACACACCAGTGGAATGGAGAGCCCAGAAATAAATGCTCCTAAATAGGGACAAATGATTTTTGGCAAGGGTGCCAAGACCATTGGGGAAATGACAGTCTTTCCAACAAATGGTGCTAGGAACATTGGATGTCCACATGTAAAAGAATAAAGTAGGACTCCTACTTAACACCCATTTGTAAAAATAAACTCAAAAGTGGATGAAAGACCAAAATGTAATATCTTAAACAATAAAACTTGTGGGAAAAAAACACAGGACAAAAACTTGATGACAGTGGACTTGGCAATGGCTTCTTAGCTATGACAGCAAATGCACAATTTAACAAAAGAAATAAAATAGACTTCATGGAAATTTAAAAATTTTGTGTGTCAGAATATACTATCTAGAGAGTAAAAAGGCAACGCATAGAATGGGAGAAAGCATTTACAAATCATGTATCTGCTAAAGGATTCATACCCAGAATATTTAGAGAACTTCTAAAACACAGTAAAAAAAAACAGTTCACAAATGGACAAAGGACTTGAGTAGACTTTTCTCCAAAGAATATATACAAATGGCCAATAAGCACATGAAAAAATGGTCAATATCGCTAATCTTTAGGGAAATGAAAACTGTGAGATAACACCTCACACCCATGAGGTGTCTCCTATCAAAAAAACAACAGTAAGAGTTGATGAGGATGTGGAGAAATTAGAATGTTTGTGTACTGTTGGTGGGACTATAAAATGGTTCGGTGCTGTGGAAGACACTATGGCTGTTCCTGATAAAAATAATTACCGTATGATCCAACAGTTCCACCCAACAGAATTAAAAGCAGGGTCTCAAAGAGCTATTTGTACGTCAGTTTTCATTTGCAAAGTTATTCACAACAGTTAAAATGTGGAAGCCACCCAAGTGACCATCAGCTGATGAATGGAAAAGCAAAAGGTGTTGTATAAGTGCAATGGAATATTATTTAGCCTTAAAAAGGAAAGATTTTCTGTAATATGCTACAAGATGGATGATCCTTGAGGACATATGCTAAGCAAAATAAGCCAGTCACAAAAAGACAAATACCATATGATTCCACTTAGATGAAGTACTTAGTCAAAATCATAAAGCCAGTAAAGTGGTGGTTGCCATTGGTGAGGGGAATGAAGAATGGGGAGTCACTGTTTCATGGGGATGGAGTTTTAGTTTTACAAGATGGAAAGTTACAGAGATAGATGGTAGTGATAGTTGCACAGCACTGTGAACGAATTTTAAGCCACCTGACCTACACTTAAAAATGCTTAAGATGGTAAATTTTATGTAATGTGTATTTTACCACACAAAAAAAGAGATTGAACATAGAGGCTAGTTTGTACTAGTGTGTTAGAGAAATGGCTTAATAAATAAATAAAAATCTTAAAAAAAAAAAAAAAAGGGGGGCACCTGGGTGGCTCAGTTGGTTAAGCGACTGCCTTCGGCTCAGGTCATGATCCTGGGGTCCTAGGATCGAGTCCCACATCGGGCTCCTGGCTCAGCAGGGAACGTGCTTCTCCCTCTGACCCTCTCCCCTCTCATGCTGTTTCTCTCTCGCTCACTGTCTAGTAAATAAATAAGATCTTTAAAAAAAAAAAAAAAAGAGAAATGGCTTAAATGCACAGGATTTCTCCCGTAAACAATGTCATCATTTCAGGCCTAGGGTTTTATTTAATGGTCTTTCTGTCTTGCTTACAATCACCGTGAAGGTTGGTGGAAAGGAATGAAGCAGTTTCTCCCTGCCAAATCAGTGGAACACGAGGAAACCCCTGTTCGCTACAGCAGCAGTGAAGTTAATCACTTGAGTCCAAGAGAAGTCACCACAGTGCTGCAGACGGATTCTGCAGGTAACCATGTGCAGCCTTCGCCACAGAGTGGAGGAAGAAACTGCCGCACTAGGCTGGAAATTTGGGATTTGGGATTTATAGTGTCTTTTCTCTTTTTCAAATGTAAGAAATGAACGGTTTTCTTGAGGTAGAACTACTTTTTAAAAGGATGACCTTGAGAGAGTCATTTCTGCACCTTCGATGCATACTCCTATTTTATGGAGAACATTTCAAAAAGCTCTGGGCATTTTTATCTGTTAACCTGGAGTTTTCTTTGAGTGTGAAGAATAGGAAAGCCGGAGCGAGCCTTACAGTATTTATCCTATTAATTTGGTATATATTTATTTTAAACACTGTCCTGTTTGAGAATATTCTAATAATGGAATGTTTTTTTTTTCCAGTGATACACTATTTATAAATCTGAAGATCATATACATTCTTTGTAAAATTTCATGAATGAGGCTTTATGGCATAGTAACTTCTTAGGAGATACAAGATAACATGTTTAATTTTTTTAAGTTGGTTCAGGTAGAGAAATCCATAGGTCTGTATTGATAGGAACCAAAGTGCCATAAAGAAGTGTGTGTTTTGGGTGTCGGGCTATGGCTGATCCCTGTGTGAATGAGGTGACTTTTCTGTTGTTGGTTCTGTGATATCCACAGAGTATGCACAACCACTTGTGGGAGGAATTGTTGGCACCCTTCATCAGAGATCCACCTTTAAACCAGAAGAAGGGAAAGAAGCAAGTTATGCTGACCTAGATCCTTACAACTCCCCGGTCCAAGAAGTCTACCATGCTTATGCCGAACCACTGCCGATTACCGGGCCCGAATATGCAACCCCAATCATCATGGATATGTCTGGGCACCCCCCAGCTTCAGTTGGTCTTCCCTCAACGTCCACTTTCAAAGCTACAGGGAACCAGCCTCCCCCTGTGGTGGGAGCCTACAACACTCTTCTCTCCAGGACCGACAGCTGCTCGTCTGCCCGCGCCCAGTATGACACCCCAAAAGGTGGGAAACCAGGTGCCAGTGCCCCAGGCGAACTGGTGTACCAGGTGCCACACAGCACACAGGAGGCCTCAGGGGCCGGGGGGGATGGTGAATGTGATGGTTTTAAAGAGACTCTTTGAAGGGGATGCTGCTTGTTATAAAGCATGGTTGTAAAGCACATGGCCTTTCTTGTGTGTTAGTGGTAGTAATGTAGAGAATGTATTACCTGTCTGTCACAGCTGTGGTTGGGGAAAGCGGGAGGACCGAGGTACAGGGAACTGCTAATCTTGCCATCTTGCTTTAAGAGCGTTACTGTGGCAGTGACGGCTTGCCTGTTAAATTTCAAACATTCTGTTTGTTACTACTGTAAAACACGATTTTTTAATACAGAAAAAGCTCCCTACTATGCACTTCAAAGAAATTAAATATCACTGAGAGTATTTATTACCAATGCTGCAGGTACATTGATGAACTTGAGGTGGCTCTGTACGCCTGACTGGCAATAACGCATGGTACTGTTCTTGAAATGTCTAGTGGCTTGAAATGTTGCTCTTTGTGAAAGGTGGGTACTGTCATGAGTTCTGTTTCTTCTATTCCTATATTCCCTATGGATTTTTTTCAAAACTTGGTGATAGAATCATCGTTTTGGTCGCAGCCGTACACTTACCTATCTTTCCTTAGGAAAGTCTAAGTGGGAAACTGACTTGTGAAGGGCGGGGTCGTGGATTTTTCACTTTTTGACACTCTGAAGAGCTTTCACACTTCATGGTACGTGACCTGGTTTCATCCCTGCTTGTTCTGTCTGGGGCCAGCCCCGTTCTTGTGTTTATAAACTGTTTTGAATATTTTTTATTGAGTGATGCTTGCTCCATAGCCTCATGAATCCTGTAATTGTAAAAAGCTCTCACAGAGATTCTCTGCCTGCCCCCGACTTTATTTGCAACGGGATTGGTCCTAGGCCAGTTGTGAGGGCATCTGAGTGAACACTGTAGACAGGAGTCCTTATGTTTACCACAGTGAAAGGCAGAATCATTCCTCAGAAGTCATATAAATTACCCTAAAACAAAAAACCAAAAAAATGGATTTGCCCTCTTTGATTTAATATATAGAGATGTTTCTCTGAATCTGAAGTTATTTTTGGTCAAATGAAAGAAGTAGAAGCCAGCGTGAATTCCTCAGCTCTGTGTCGTAGGAGTTGTGACAGTCCTTTACCACATGCCTATGGAACAGATGTTCTAGCATCCTAGCAGGTGAATATTGACGTCTCTTTTTGATATTTCCAGGCAACTTCTTTGTCACCATTTGCCCAGAACTAGTTTTAATGGGTGAAATAAAAATCATCTAATTTATTAGCCCATAGCGTAAGAATCTTTAAAAATCTTTGGCAAGATGAGAAGCTGGCCCTATGTTTAAAACATATAATCTCCCCTCAGGTTCTAGCCATTTCTTGATTGTTTCCAGAATTTGCTAGATGTGAGAAAACACAGTGTTCATTTTGCTTGTTTCCAGGTATATCAGTATTCTGAAGTATTGCTTCAAAAATAGAATTATTTCTGCAGCCTCTCTGCCGCCTGGTATTATTTTTGTTGGTGTTACCTTCATTTGCTTTTGCTTTTCCAGACAAACTTGGAGGCATAATTTTATTCATTGAAAAAATATATTGTTTCCAGACATTTGAAACAAAAAGCACAGATGTTGAACTTTATTAAGACATGAATGTGTAAAGCACATGTATTAATGCAGTCATCCCCTTTCAGGTGGGAAGAGAGTAAACCAATTTATCTTTTTATTTATCCTCAGTACACAATGAATATACTTCTCCAATCACATGCCTGTTTGAGAAGCTTTAAGAGAAACGATCTCATTTTCCCAAAGATGCTTGTTTTTATTTAATTTTGTGCACCTGATTTTCCCATGGAACTTTTTTTTGAGAGGCAAATGTTTTCTTCTTAAATGATGCATGTTTTTGCCACTGTGCGGTCCTTGAACTACCAATGATTTTTACAAAATGGTTTTTATTGCTTTTGTATATTTTACTTTCCAAATGAAGAGCTGAGCCTGATACAAAGGGTTATTCTGATTTTATACTTTTAGTTCATTTGTTTTCATATTAGAGTTTTGTTTTGGGTTTTAACTACATTTATATGTCTGATGCAGCTGTGGAGACAATCAACTGAAAATGTGAAAGTAACTTTTTTTTTTCGTTACTAAATTCCCTTGAATTTTTATTCTTTGCTTGAAACATGTTAAAGACTTGTCAGTCTCGTTTATTGGATTTTTTTCCTGTTAACACAGTGATAAAAATCGAATCAGTGGTACAGCAAGTGTGGCCCCTACAGGTTTTCATAAAGTCACACAACTTCACTGTTACATGATCTTAGGAACCAGCACAGTTAAAGATTGTGAATGCTGATTTATATTTTATTAAAAGCTGTAACACCAAATAGATCCTATTGTATGTGCAGGGTCTGGTCCAGTTATTTAAATTCATGTTTCACTATTTGCACTTTGCATTGAACAGTGGGTTTATCCGCTGATGAAATGGTTTGTGTAGAGAATTTATACAGCAGTTGAAACTATGGCGTCATATGCACTGTTGTCCTCCCCTGCCCCAGCAGAAAATGCACTCATCTAAAACTCTGTGGAAGGTGAGGAAGCTTGACCTTCTTTGCCTTGGCCCCACATTGACACCTGGAGAGCATAAGGGCTATGGAAACACCAGGTCAGAGGACAGAACTACGATTGTGGGACAAAAACCTTTCAAACCCTTTTAAGAGAAATCTGTTAAGCTCTACCTTTAAAAAAAACTGCCTTTTAGCTCTGCTTTTCTGTTCTGAACTTGAAGTCCCTAAACTGCAAAATCTAGTAAGTGTTGGATGGTTATTAAAATACTTTTTAGTTCAACTGTGGCACCAATTATTTACTCCAATTTGTGACTAGTTTTTTGGGGTTTTTTTGGCACTGGGAAAGGTGGAAACAAAACATTGAAATACATAGTGGAAATAAAAATGGTTTGAGGGTCAGTGATATTCTCCCAGAATGTACTTTTCTTACCTCGGCATGTACTGTAGTCACTCAGTATTTGTATATGTTGCTAGAATTTAGATTGTATAAATAGTGAGATCTTAATGTGTCATGTGTTTTTAATAAATTGTATATATGTGACTTGCTGAGAATTTCCTTTGGCTTATATAAAACCACGTTGAAGTTTGTAGCCTTTTCTCATACTACACAAAATGCCAGATTCCTCTGTTTTAGCATCGCTCAGAAATTGTACTGCCATTATTCTGGACGTTACAGTAACATTTGAAAATGCTACCAGGGTTTTTTTTACTTTTACTCCAGCCTGGACCATCCGGTTTTGAAGCCTAAATTAGTTCACAAACTGCATTTTGTGTGGTAAACTCTGGCTGTGTGGTAGGAGGGAAGGGTCGCATGAACACCCATCTTTTCCACCTCAGAGTTATTAGAGGAATCCAGTGAAACCACGGTACTGTGCAAGCATGCTCGTGCTAACAGAACACAGTCTGTACTTAATGTCCAGATCTGGCTTAAATCAACCCGGAGTTTTTCCCCCCTTATACTGCATTTGACATACTCTTTAGAGAGGCAGGTTGGTTTCGGGTAACACCAGCCATGTCTCCCAATGATAATTATTGTTCAAAAGAATTCTTTCAACTCTTACCTCTTCTGAGAGTTTTTAATTCCATCCCTCTTGTAATTCTCTTCTCTTCCTTTTTCCCTCCCCATAGCCCTAGGCTGTATTAAATGAGAAGGGTCACTAGCTCACATTTGTTCGAAAGGTTGGTTTTGACTTGTTTGCATCCAGTAGGACTCTTCTCTCATGCACCCTAGGCAGCCAGGTAAGCCTTCCCTTTGAAGAATTGACGTTGTTCATGAAATTTCCATTTAAATCCAAAAAACAGCTTGAGGAGTCTCAAGGATTTATCTTCATTTTTCCTAATTCAAATAGTAAACTTTCCAAATTTTATTAAGCCAGGCAGAAAATTTAAGAATGGTCTCCTTGAGCTTGCCTAGCTCAGCCACTTTGTATGAGTTTTAAAATAATGCAGTCACCAGACTTTAGTAATTGCATTCTTAGATTATTTACTTGTCCAGAATTTCATGTTTAGCCTATTTCCTTCACCTTAAAAACATCACCTTCCTTCTGTCCGATGACTCATTATAATCAGTTCACTTAATTGCAAGACAAAAAAAGCTTAATGAAAACAGTATAATCTTAGATTTCCATAACCATACCTACTGCTATGTTCAGGGCTGCTTTAAGATTCAAATCTGTTTCCTCAGCTACAACAAAAAGGAACAATCATCTAGCTACATGCCTAAAATGGTTGCAGTTTGCCGAATCAAGGCACAACCACATGGCCATTTCCCACCAATTTACAGTAGCCAAATGTTGTGTTCAAAACTTGTGGTCAACTAAATAAAGCCCATTATTAGGAAGTCACATCCTCTCAAAAGTCTAAGATAAGCTAATTATAAAAAGATGTTTAAAAACACTTTGGAAAACTAACTTGTTTTAAAAACAATGCAATCAAAACTTCTTTCCCTGATATCTTAACTAAGCATATCTTGGTTTTTATAAATTAAATATATACACAAAAATTAAGCTGGTGGTTATGAATCACCAGGCAGTAAGACTTAATATACACAATTTTTTGACAAGTGCATCCAACATATTTAAAAATAAACTAAAAATTGCCGTATAAAAATAAAACTAATACTGTTAGCATCGTCTTCTGAGTCTGTAGAGTCAATATTCAGTCAAGTTGATTACAAAGTTTTTTTCTATGATGTCCTTCAAAAAGAGCTGCTCCGCTGTCACATTGTGATACGCATTCTAGAGAAGAAAAGGAAAAAAATCATCTATCCCAGTCTCAAAACATTAACAGCAACAATGGGATACACTGTATCTAAAAAGCTTCTGAATAAAAGACTCAAGTCACACCTATACAGGTAGACCTTAAACTTCTGTTACCTTTTTCTTTGCTCATTCTTTTGCCAGTGTTCCCTAAATTTAGCCCGCTGTTTCCCCTTAAATCCTCACATAAAACCACCCCTTCATATCATTCCCCCCATCTCTTAAATCACGATATGAAACTAGAGACCAAAATTTTAAGTCAAAAGGGGTTGATCACTTTAATAAAAGCAGCACCTGAAATTCATAATAGAAATCAGCCTAAAGAAACAATTGTAAAGCATGGCTAAGGTAGATTTTTTAAAAATAATTCTGTTCTATTGATGGATATCCTAATTTTCCTCAGGAAATTGTTTCAGTGTTCTGTTATTTAGATGGCTAGAAATCCCACAAGTGCTAAAAGATTAGGGCTGAGGAGAAATGATCCTGAAGTCTGTCCCAAGCACCTAACACTTGAACTACTCAAGTGTTTGTCTCACAAGGGGTAGGGGATGAGGTAATATAACAATATGAAGGTCTGACCTGAATAATACCACTTCGGCTTATGGTAGTGTTTGGGGATGATAACCTAAGGGGACTGATTACATAGGATATATCCCTACTTTACAGCAAATCATTCATATTTCCATATTAAAAATGTACAGATAACATTTTAGTCCTATCACTTGTGATATGCCACTAACCTCAGACAACTCCTTCCCATTCAGTTAAGTCTTAAAGATCCTATCTACCACCACTGATCTCTAATTCAAGAGAAGCATGATCTACTATAAACGTTTGCAACCTTTTTGACCATGAATATTCCCTCATGGAGTGAAAATATTACAGACCTCCCCCTCTGCTTAACTAAAAAAAAACACGTTGAAAAGCACAGCAAAAAGTTACATCATCTTCCCAACTCCAAATTTACCTTCATCTTTACTGTGTTTTCAGTGCTCAATCCTCTTATGTGGATGAGTGTCCCTGTTCCATGGCAATGCTTTTAAGTGAATTTGAGATTGTTATCAACAGCAAGTTGCCTACGTGCATATTTAAATAGTGCAAACATGATCTAAGATAAGGCTTGGTGTCTGGAGGGGTTTGATGCTGCTTGATAATAACTATGTCCTATCCCCAAGGGTCTGAGGCCCACAAATTGGAACTGGCTGGATTTGAGTCCCAGTTTCAGTCTTTGGTAGCTCTTGGTAGGGTTAAGCAGCTCTCAAACTCTCAAAACCTGTTCCCTCAGTAAAAACGATAGAAAATACAGGCTTTGCAACTGTAAAGATCAAAGATTATACCCAAGTGTGTATGTATATATTACCTCATTCATCAAAGACATGGTGGCATTCCCATAATAGTGCAAAGGACTCTTGAGGTCAGAAAAGTTGTATTTAAAACCAGCAAGGTGAACTTCATGACATATGTGAAAGGCCAGCGTGATGGCAATAATTCCTGTCGTTGGGTGTTTGGGTTTCTGGGGAGGGAAATGAAAGTTTTTTTAAAACTCAAACAAGATACTTGTTTCCAAAGCATAGTTGGGTGACCTCATCTTATAAAACCGGGACTTCTGAACAGGTCATCAGGTGAGAAATACCTAAGTTAAACCCTCATCGTGTCTTAAGGCCCAAGCCCCAGTTAATTTCCTAACTCTGAAAAGCATATAAATGTGACTGAAATCTTAGAAAATCTTTCAAATAAAACTTAACTGCTGTATTAGCCCAGAGGACAAATATCAAACGAAACACTGAGGCGCAGGGAAAAGGATGCTGCTGCCTCATTTTATAAAACATGCTGAGTCAGGCTTCCTGTGCAAACAGCAGAGCCTGCAAATTTTGAATCCATACACGAAACGTAAGGACAGGTTAGTTCACTAATGGATGGTAAGAGGCTTCACATAAGCCTTAAAATAGATCTCTTTTACCATCCTAATAACTTAACCAGCTCTAGGGAAAGACTAATCAATTAACTTCAGTGGCAAATAGTAAGATTCTGACTTCTATAGAAAATAAAAGTTCCAGATGTATACAGAGTAATGTCACAGTCTCCACTGGATCATTATCGATTTAAAAACCAAAAAGGAAAGAAACCAACAAGCATCCCTTTCACATATACATATCTCCTGAAAATGCAGTAACAGATGACTGACAGGATCTTCATTCAGTTTTAATTCTCACCGGGATGGCCTCCAAAGGTAAAAACAAAATACATCTTAAACTTTTTAACACAGCCATCTAAGGAGATTTCCTTTCATGAAGGTAAGACTTACACATTATGATTTTGAGGAGGAGAATAAAAATCTAAGCAGCACAATAATATCAAATAAACTTCAGGAGGCAAGCTCATCTGAAAACTTAACTGCCCTTTGCATAAGCTTTTCTTTACCCCATGCCCTACTGTGAATACCATAAGCCTTTGCCGTCTCCCAGAAAGGGAAATTAGTGGTTGGGTTAAAAACCTGGGAGTCATTCAATCTCATTGATCCCATCACTTTTTCCCTCTTCTGTCCGTCCCCTTCATGTCTTCCGCTTCCTTTCTTCATGCCTTAAAGGACTTCATCCATCAGTATAATCCTTCCATTTTCTGCACTTCTCACCCACAGAAATAGATCATCACCTGCCAGAATCTTAACCCTGGCTCAGCCCACACCCAAGCAGCAGAACAAGCCAAGAGAAGAACATACGTGCCCGGGTACACACATTCATGGCTAAAGTCTCAAGTGGGTGTTCAGTATTCCCCCACCCAGTAAATTTCCATTCCTACTCTCCGAGAGGACAGTTGTATACCTTTACATCCAACAGCCTCAGCCTCCGTCCCACTTCAAACTGCCCATTTAATCCTTATTTCACTAACAGAAACTGAGAAGAGCTATACCAGCTTCCCAACTCCCAATCTACCTTCATCTTGACCTGTACTTTCAGTGCTCACTCTTACATGGATGCGATGTCCCTGTCCCTACCTATGGCCAACCTCTCCCCTTGGGCACTCTTTCCATCTCTTCTCTCTCACCAGATCTGATTCTAACAATGACCCACTGCTCTCATCATTTCCTTCTGTTGAATCGTTCTCTTCGTCATATAAATATGGCATCAGTCTTTAAAACACAACCATGCAAGCAACCTTCCTTGATCCCGTGTCTTTCAACCATTTCTCTGCCCTCTTTTCTAACAAAACTCCATTAAAAATTTGCCTCCACTTGCTCATGTCCCATGTTCTTTTTAACCTAATTCAAGCAGACTTTCTAACTTTTTTTTTTTTTTTCCTTATCCACGTCATCAATATGACTTCACATTTCCAGAACCAGGCTTTATTCTTTGTGCTCAGACTCTGGATAGCATCCTACATAACAGACCTCTCTGAAATACTGCTGTGTCCTTAATTTGGCTTCTGGGATGCCATGTTCTACTGGAATTTTAATCTAGTTACAACTAGTTTTAGCATCATCTCTAAGATCAGGGTCTTCCTATTCTTTTGGAGATACTACCTAAAGCAAAAAACAAAGGTTGTATCTGATCTTACCTCACTTAGGAAATAAATTCAGAATTCAACATTCAGAAGCTGTCTTTTCCCCTCAAAATTACTAAGAAATTACTAAGAAGTTGACCTTTCCTCTCAAAATTACTAAGAAATAAGGCTTAAGTTTAAAACATTTACGCATTTTGACTTGGGAATTCATCTTCTAGGAGTCTATCCTACAGAAATCATACAAGTGGGCCGAAAAGCCCTATAATCACATGCATTTCTAGATAGGAAAAAAGCTGGATACAAACGGAAAGGTCTATAAATAGGGGAATAGCTAAATGGAAGGGGAAATGGCAGAAAAAAAAATATATATATATACACACACACTTGATATATATATATTCTTTTATAAGTTGTTTCATTATAAGCATTAGAATCTAATTATTCTAAAGTTTAGAATGTTTTTATCATACCAAAAAAAAAGGTACATGATGTGTGTATATTTTGTTGGGTTTTCCCTGATTACTAAAAAGGGAAACCTCGTTTCAGCTGAGCTCTTAGGTCACACAGTTTCTCAACCTTCAAATGAAAAACCAATCCGTGCCACTGGGTCCAGAGGATACTGTCTTCTAGGGAATGTAAACAAAAGGGCTACAAGAGTCAAAGTCGGTGAGACTCCTTTTAATTAAAGAATTTGGGGTTTCAACAATGTCTCCTCTATGACCTTAGAAATACTTCTGAACTACCCTGCCCTTCCTCACCTTTCCTCTGGCTTTCCTGTGATATTTTTATCAGAGTGCTTGAGACAGTTCTTTTTAGCCTCAGTAGCCACGTGCTTGTCCAGAAGCCGTCCTGCTACTCTGAGCAGAGCCTGCCCAGCCGCGCCCCCACCCCATCGCACCCTCCTCATCACAGAACACTGAAGACGAGGTTATGAGAAATGAGTTGCTGGGGCATGCAGGAGGAGACCCCAGAAGAGCTCCGCAAGGGCAGAAAAAAACATTCCACCTAAGGTTTTTTCCTTCCTTGCAATCTGAAAAACATAAACATAATACCCACAGATACCTGATTCACTACCTCGGATGTGGCCTTCAGAAGCCACCTTGCGAGTCATGGTTCTCATCCTTTCTGAGAACCCTAGGATCTCTCCACCCTACCCTAGCCAGATCTTTAGTTTGGAACTGTGCAAAGAAAAATACGTACCTGATTTTTGGGAAATACTTTTGGGAAGTGAAGCAGTTCATAAGCTGCCATTCTGATAATGAAAGGATCTAATATTCTGATTTGATAAGGTTTGTAGACCAAGTTTAAGGCTGGTTTCTTCCAAAAACCATTAGTGTTCTGAAATAAAAAAAAAAAAAGAACACAAATTAGAACATTGTGGTTGTCTTTTTTTTAATGAAAATTTTTTTAATAAACCTGAAGGTAATCAGAAGGCAGATCAATGTTGCCAACTTACTATTTTGCCACCCGTCAGCAGTTCCCACAGCCACTTTAAATCAAGCGGCTTAAAAGCAGTGAGAACCGCCGTAGTATTAGGATCATTGTGATTGGGATCTGAAAAAACAGATTCTGGATAAAAGAGTCGGAAGGTGGTCCTTCTCCCAACTTCCTCTTCATGTCCTAAAACAGGACCATTATTCATTCTGTGGGGAGTAAAACACACAAAATATGTATACCAAGTGCAGTATGAGCCAATTCCATCCCCAAGTTTCAGAGCTTTCAGAGCAGGACAGACAGCTGCGTCCACGGGCCCAGTGCGTAAAGCTACAGGGCAACAGATTTTTTTTTTTTTTTAATGCATAACAGCCAAGGAAATAATTCCCTTTCATGAAATGGCTGCTTGATCAAAGGCAGAAATGTTCATCTGGATTTGAACATTAATTGTGGGGCGACTGATAATTCAGTCCTACCTCCAGGAAAACCGAAGACTCAATAAAACAAAATTTGAACATAGAACCAAAGACTACTAGAGTTAAGAGAGACCTTGGAGGACATCCAGAGAAAACCCCTTGGATAAAGGCCCTGCAGTCCAGAGAGAGAGTTACTTGCCCAAGGTTACACAATCATGTAGCACATGGACTGACAAACAAGAATCACTCTGAAGGTGATCTGAAGACCCATCAGAATTGTTGAGCTCTGTAATACAGGGTAATATAAAATTGCTGTATTATACCCACACACAACCAAATAAATGTTATTGCTAGAGTGAACTAAAGAACCACAAAGGATCTACTGTTGGGTTTGCGTATGCTCAGTGCCAAAGTTAGACATGCACTATTTACGCATACACTATGAAGGCATGCTATTAAAAGGAATGCTTTGTTTCCAAAACAGTGTCCCCCTGGGAGGATAAATACTGTTTCACCCTTTGCTACTGACTCCATGTAACGTAAGACAGCCTTAACACTTGAAGTGACTTTCATAAATGTTGTACCCGTGGCATTCTCCCACAAGGGTTTGCTGTGGTGCTGGATGATCAAATGTTTAGACAATTACAGGTAAGGAAATTCATGTTTCAAAAATTCATGTGGATAAAATTTCACAGCTTCCTCAAAATGGATAGTGAACAGAAAATAAGGTGACCTCACTATGCAGAAGCTCTTGGCAGCTTGTAACCCAGCAAAACCCCCAAGGACTGCCAGGTCATCCTAACGCACTGCCCCACTCTTCAAAAGACTATTCATAGCCATTCCCAACACACACAACACAGGATGACCTTACTTCAACCTCTCAACGAGAAAATAGAGCTAGAAATGTCCTCACCTTCCCTCCACTCCATCTGTGGGACTCTTGGTAGCCATAACTACAATCCCAGTTTTCCTTTCCATTACAGAGGACCAACCACACTTGCACTCTGGACGCCCATCCCATCTTGCTACCACACCAGTCTCTTTGTTCATTTCCATCAGTTTACCAACATGCTCTAGAATCTCCTATCTTTATAAAAGGAACAAAACAAAAAAACAAAAAAAAAAAGCCTCCTCTGATTCCATAACTATCTCCAGCTACCATCTCATTTCTCGACTCTCCAGCAAAACTTCTCAAGAGAATTGCCTACACTGGTTGCTCACTTTCTCACCTGTCATTCTCTCCTCAAACCACTCTGGTTGGGCCACTCCCCATATCATGTCTCCAAGTCTGCTTTTGTCAAGAGTATGAGTGAGCTTCAGGCTGCCAGTCCAATGGTGAACCTTGTCCTATATCTTGCATGACCTCTCACCGGCTGGTCATGGGTGACCCCTTCTCCTCTCCTTTAAAACACTTCCTACCTCACTGGTGGATCCTCTTCCATCTCTTTTACTCTTTTCTTTCTTTTTTGCTCAACCTCCAAGTATAGAGTATCTCAAGACTCAGTCCTAAGCCTTCTTCTGTGTTTCTCCCTAGGAAATCTTGCCCAGACCGTGGTGTAAATATAGCTTACAGGCTGTTTACCATCAAGCCTTTAACCTGTTTAACCAAATGCCTACTTGACTTACCACTACAAATCTAGTAAGCACCTCAAATCTACCATGTTCCCACAGAAATCTTGATTCTCCTCTAAACGTCTTCCTACCCTAGTCTTCCCCCCAACTCAACAGTGGTACCTCCATCCAGGCAATCTCTCCGGCTGAAAACCCAGGAAGAGGTATGTGGTTCCTTTATTCCCATCTCTCCTCACACCTAACACGTCGACAAATCCCGATAACCCTACCTCTAAGACGTGTCTCAGTCTATCCACTTACATCCTTCTCTGTCAGGACAATCCTGTGCCAAGCCACCATCATCTGCCTGAACAGAGCCACCTGACTGGCCTCCTTATTTCTACTCTTGTCCCTCATACCCCACTGTCCATGCCACAGCCAAGGTATTTTAAAAACATAGCCAGGTCAGATTCCTCTCTCGCTTAAAAATCTTCAGAAGGTTCCTGTTGTACTTAAAATAAAATCCCAGCTCTAATCTCAGTTCACACAGTCCTCTACAACCGTCCCCCCTTGCCTTCCTCTTTGGCTTGCGATTGTACCACTCTCCCTGAGCCTGCTGCCCGACTCCCTCACTGGTCTTCTTGGTACTCTTCTCAAACCCAGGATCATGTCCTCCCCAGGACCTGCACTAAACATTCTTTCTGCCTGGATTGCTCTTCCCTAGTCTTCATATGGCTGGTACTATAACAGTCACGTAGGTCTGTCTTAGAGGTCTTCTCCTCAAAGTGGTCATCCATTCTAAAGTAGCTATTCAATCATTGGCTGTCACATATGTTTTAACTGTTTGTATGGCATTTATTATTGTATTTCCTTATTTATGTAATTACTGTTTTCTTCCCCTCATTACAATGTAAGCTCCATGGGGAGCAAAAACATTATTCTTATTCACTGCTATATGCCCTGGAGCTGGAACTGTGCCTGGCATATTAAGGAGACTTCACAAATATTTGCTAAGTGAATGACCTGGAAATTTAGGCCTACTCTAGTCAACGACGACTGAGAGACTGGTTGTGTTAATGTACTTAAATATATCTAAGCAACTCATCTTCCTTTTAAACGCAGTCATACTAAAATAGAAAATCGTATTCCTTTGAAACAACTCCAGGTTAGCAAATAGGAAATATATTTACCTTATTATTACATCATAGGAGTCAATTTTTTCTCCTAATGTCTTATTCTTCAAAACTCCTCCATTACCAACCACCACGCACTTTTTACATGGCACACTGTTGGGCAAACAGACAAGTGAGAGGTTGAGACATCTTTCATGTAACTGGGTGATTCCAAGAATTTGTTCATCCTTTCCAGAACCCAGGGCCAAATTTCACTTGTTGCACAAGTAGAAGAGGAACCAACTGTGACTTACAGGTCTAGGGATATATTAGAAAGATACAGGATTCAAGAAATAGCATTCCATAGGAAGTATATGATTGTTAGCAACTAACAGGTGCTTGTGAGTCCATACACATTCCCTCATTTGATTCTCATAACCATCTGCTGAGATGGGTAAGCCCGATATTTCCATTTTACAAATGAAGAAGGCATTCAGAGAAGTGCTGGTTAACATTTCGAAGTCGTACTCCCAAGAGGCAGAATCAGGATTCGCATCCAGACTCTTGAAGGACAAAAACACCACTTGGCCCACGATTCTGCATGTTAATATTGATACAAGTGTGTTTACATGACATAGCTATACATTTTTTCCCCAGCGTTTCTCACTCCCTGAGAATCCTGATTCTAGCTCTGGGTCACTGCTGCATCTTACTGATGTGGAGACAGTTTGGAATCTGGTGGGGAAGGTGTATCTTTCCTGGACCTGCCCACGAGCACTTCAATTCCCCCAACATGTTCTGTTTCTTGGAGCTTAACCAATATAAACTAAAAGTTCATGCTGTGTTCCTAGCAGAGAGCTTTCAAGTAGATGATGAAGTGGGACTTCCTGTTGCTGGCTGGGATCAGCCTAGAACCACGCACTGTGTACCATCAGCTCTCAGCAAACCCAACCTGGCCCATCTATCTCCAGGCTCTGACCGCCTCCCGGCCAGGCCTTGAAAAATGACGATACAGATCACATCCTTCTCCTTTAGAGGACAAGACTACAGAGGGGAAAGCCTGGTGAGACTGTCCTTCCAAGGCCTTCATGACATGAAAGTATAAAGAAAAAAACCTGTTTCTCTAAAAACCGTGAATAAAGCAGACCGGATGAACTCTAGACCTTAAGGCTCTTAGGAAATTAATGAGTAGCAAAACTGCACAAATACTACAGAACATGTAAACTTAGAGGGGCGCCTGCTTGGCCCAATTGGAACAACATGTGGCTCTTGACGTCGGGCCATGAGTTCAAGCCCCACACTGGGTGTAGAGATTACTTAAATAAACAAATAATTGTAAGGAATGCAAGAATACAGGAATAACTAAAAAGAGCCAAGCACTGGCCCTGTCAGGTTAAGAAGAGACAATATATACATTGTATGCATAGACACATCAATTGACCTTTCCTCATTAGAATTTGTTTAGTTCACCTATTTGGTAAGCTTTTAATACTGGAAAACACTTTTTTACACATTTTAATTTGGGGCTTTTAGCTCCCCACTTAACGAGTCATATCAAAATCAGTGTCTACTTTGTTACAAAAACGAGAAGATCCAGAATGTCACAGGTGTCAGAGACTGGGTTGGGGGGACACTGTCCAGGCACTCCTTGATGATGTACCCCCCAAAACTCCTATCATGGACAGATCACAATATGCTCTAAATTCCAGGAAGGAAACTCTCAGTGGTGCTCTGCTCTTTGACCTCTGTGACCAGGTGGCACGGAGAAGATGGGAACAGTGGCAAACACATTCCAAACCCTTCCCTCTCTGGGTATGTTGTCACCAGACCCATCTTATGAATACTATCTAACAAGGGCCCTTCTCATCCGCATAGCTTGTTTGACTCTTCCTTCCAGAACCCTGGGGCCAGTTTAATGCAAATCAGAGGCTCAACCTCTTGAAGCTGGCTCCCACCTCCCCGCTGAGCAAGGCTGTGGGCACCGGGGAGGGGTGGCTGGGAATGGAGGATCAGAGTAACAGCTCTGTTCCTACGGAACCTGCATGGAGCTGGAGGAGAAATAACCATCATCATGGCACCAGATTAACCTCCTCCCCTATGACTGGAGGCCACTTCCTATTCCCAGGGGCCCCCGGGGCTACAGCATCTGTTCTGGCCTGGGATATCCAGCCTGACACCATGCTGCCTGACCAACATCATCAAACATACCAGGCTAGATAGGAACTCACAGCACCACTGTGTCTCCAGAGTTTCTAACCTGGAGCCCCAAAAAAGGACCCCATACCCACAAGCCTCATTTCTGAAGATGACCCAGAAAGAGGTAGCTCAGCTCACCCCCAGACACAACCAGTTCCATAATCCCTGTTCAGCAATAAACCCATAGGCTGAAACTTCATGCTTGCAGAAACTTCTCCTCAGTGTTATTTTTATCAGACTGGATTACAGCTGGTCATCAAGCCCCAGATCACATGTGGCCGAAAGAGTATTGTGATAAGAGAAGCGATCATCTGTCATACGAATAGGTCACACTCCTTGTCCCCACTCAGGCTCAAGGTCCTGGACCTCCCTCTCACAGATCCTACCAAGCCTTCCGGTCAAGGGAAAAGGGAGCTGAGGTTTAGAGGCAGATCTTTACTACAAGAGCCCTGAGGATCAGCCACAGAGAGAAGGTCGTTCCTTGTATGTACGCTCTACAGCCTCTTCCTGTTCATCGTCCCAGGAGGTTCAAGGACTTGGGAAAAATGGAAAGAAATCTCAGAGATACTGCCTCACTCAAGGGGACTCCAATTCTAAAGACACTTTACAGCTGAAGGGTCACCACATTTTTAGAAATTTCACTATTTTCTTCTCTGTGAGCTTTGTAGGGGGCAGCTGGAGGGAAGGCCCTTTGTCATAGAAAAAGTTCACCAATACCCCTGAAGAGAAATCTGGTCAGTGAATTTCACTTCTCCTTCTGGTAAGGGATATTGCAAAGACCCACACATTTTTCTGAGGATCATATATAATACTAGAAACTCTTCTAGGGGCATTGCTAGGACTACTCTTTGGCAATAGTATCTCATCTACTGCTAGTACTCACAATGCCCCCATGAGTCTGGGAAACACGCAATGCTACAGCTTTGCAGTCTGAACCACACATCTCACAATGCTCTCCCCAGCAGGGACCCCCACATATTACCAAAAATCTGAGTCATTATCTCCTTGGCTTCGTCCGCCTTGTCTGGGCTCCTGGCTTCCCTTGCACCCTGTGTGAAACAGTAACTTCCAGTGTCCTTTGGGTAACTGTATAACTTCACCATATTTAATTAATGCCACTTTCATGCCCGAATAGTTACAGACAACTGTGATCTTTAGACGGCAAGAATAGTCTCATTTATATTACTATACTCTCCAATCTAAAACTTCCTGATTCACAGGCTGTACACCAGAAATCAGTTTGATTGTTACATTAAGGGTGGTGATTGTTTTCTCTCCTGTTGTGTCTGGGAAAGGAGGTATCTGTTCTTCCTTCCCCCACCCCAGAAACAGGTAGGGAAATGCAAATGCCCCAAACTGCTCACCCAGAAAACAAAATCATTACGGAGTGCCTGAACCTGTTAATGGAAAATCTGGAAAAGTGCTGAAACAATCATGGTGAGAGATTACATTTCCCCCACGTAAAAGGCCTGGCTTCTCATCAAGCCAGGCAAACCCAGAAGACTGACTACCTTATGCAGAGGTAAACATCAACACCATCAATGCGGAGAAAGTAAACACGAATCGCCCATTTCAAAGGACCTGTGACCTGTCTTCTGAATGCTTTCTGACATTCATTTTTCCCTTCAGCAGTATCACACACATTAAAATATATCACTCCAGCTTCAGTGTAACAATCCATGCAGACCCCACTAGCCCCTTTCCCAACACGCATTACCCTGCGTGCCTGCTCGCAGAGCCCTGCTTTCATAAGCCTAATAGTTGGTCTGGAGGTGGCCCCATGACCCCACCTTGGGCAGAAAGATATCAGAGAAGTCTATTAGATGCTCCAGAAAAGAGTTCACCCCCAGCAAGAACATGGTTCGAAAGTTCTCCTCCTGGCCGAAAATAGCAGGATGCCCGGGCTAGTGATGCAGACACTGAGATCCTTTTAGAGCCTGGGCTCTTTTTCATAAACAACTACTAAAGTCTAAATCTTTTTATTTTTAGGTTGTCTAAGGCCATGCTCCCACCCTGGCTGGTTGCCAGTCTGACCCAGCTCTGCTGATATAATGGATCCTGCCTGGGTGAACGAGGCAGTTGTCACAAATCCCTGTCCATTTAGCAGGCAGTGGACTTAGCACAGGGTTTTCAATTAGGTAAGATATTTATGTATGGTTACTCTATAACCATCGACGCAGGACTCAAGCATTCGTCACAGAATCTGGCAGGCTTTCAGAAGGCAATGGTGGCAGTTGGGGGTGGAGAGCTGGTTCATGCATTTGAGTGGGAGCTGAGAGTTTGTGATTCAGGGATTCAGTTGCTCTGGTCAAGGGAGAACATGTTCCCACTAAGGAGATGGCAGCATTCTGGGGACCTGGGTGCAGACCGGTACTCAGGAGCTACATGGACACCCAGAAAGGGCCTTGTAACATGCACATTTTAAGTATTGCTTTTCTGTGATGTGATTTCCTTAAATATCCTCAGTCGTTAGTGAAGTGTGTCAAACATGGCCACCTCACGTGAGCTGTGCTTTGGAGAATAAAGAGAGAAATCCGAGTCCTAAGAAATCCACAGCAGCAACACACAGAAAAGAAGACAAGAGAACCGGAGTTGCCACTCCGAACCATTGGTTTTAGGCACGGCTTCACGGTGCCTTCCAAACAAAGTGCCACAGAGGATAAAAAGGAACCTAGAGGTCACCTCAAACATCCCACCTCTTTTTTTTTTTAAAGCATTTTATTTTGGGGGGTGCCTGGGTGGCTCAGTCAGTTAAGTGTCCGACTCTTGATTTCAGCTCGGGTCATGATCTCAGGGTTTTGAGATCGAGCCCCACATCAGGCACACATGCTGGGCTTGGAAGCTGCTAAAGATTCTCTCTCTCCCTCTCCCTCTCTCCCCCCACCTCTCTCTAGTAAAAAAAAAATTAAAGGAAGCATTTTTTTTAATTGCAATATAATTCACAAGTCTTAAAATTCACCCTTTTAAATAAAATCTGT